GGCTGCCCCGGGGTCCCGGTGACTCCTGCCAGGCCCGGCGGCCCCGGTGGGCCTGGCAATCCAGTGTCACCCTGGAGCAGAGAGGGGAAAGATGGGGAAACAGCCCCCCCGGGAACAAGCGTCTCCTGCAGCCAGGCAAGCCGGATGCAACCCAGGCAGCTGGGGACACGAGCAGAGCTGGAGCGATGCAGGGACACGAGTCACCTTCAAGCCAGGAGGTCCGTCCTGTCCCGGGGGTCCCCGTGCACCGACTCCAGGAGAGCCCTGGGAGGGTGGGCAGAGAGCAGGCAGATGGTCACCCGTGGGGCAGGCACAGGAGAGGCCTCCTGGGGGTCTCGGGGGCACTGTGGTCCCCAGAGCTGCCCCACATCCCTGGGAGATGCCCTGCCCGCCTAGGACAAGGGCGCTCTTACCTTTTCCCCCTTGGCTCCAGCCGATCCTTTGGCTCCCTGTGGAGACACCAAAGCACCGGGGAGGTGTGAGCAGCAGGCGGGAGGTGCACGGGGCAGCGATGCCCACGCTGGGCACCCGCGCTCCAAACAGCCCCACGGATGGGGCTCCCACCCCGCAGCAACGATGCTGCCCCGGCGCTGGAGCACATCCAACTCCACAGCATTCCCACCGGCCTCCTACTCACATCTTCCCCGGGGTCTCCAGGCTCTCCGAATCCTCCAGGCTCCCCCTGGCAAGGGGAAAGAAGCGAAAGGCCCAGGTGCGCGGCTGGCGCAGGGGAGCGGACGCGGCTCCCTGCCACCCCTGCCCGCGGCAGCTCTCACCTTCTCTCCCTTGGGGCCGGGCAGGCCCCGGGCGCCCTTGGAGCCCTGCCAGGCAGGGAGGGCAGCGTTAGGGTCTGCTTTGCAAAGCAGGAGGCAGAGGGACAGCGAGGGGCAGGGACAGGGGGATGGCAAGGGGCAGGGGGACGGCTAGGGGACGGTGAGGGGCAGGGGGACGGTGAGGGGCAAGGAGGGCAAAGGGCAGGGGGATGGCAGGGGGATGGCAAGGGGACAGCAAAGGGTAGCGGGGATGGCAAGGGGCAGGCACAGGGATAGTGAGCAGACGACAAGGGGCCAGGACGGCGAGAGGCAGAGGGATGGTGAGGGGCAGGGACAGGAAGGGGCAAGGAGGGCGAGGGGCAAGGGGACAGCAAGGGGCAGAGGGGATGACAAGGGGCAGGCGCAGGGATGGCGAGGGGACAGCGAGGGGCAGGGATGGCAAGGGGATAACAAGGGGCAGGGACGGTAAGGGGCAAAGAGATAGTGAGGGACAGGGACAGGAAGGGGCAAGGAGGGCGAGGGGCAAGGAGATGGCAAGGGGACAGCAAGGGGCAGGCACAGGGACAGCAAGGGGACGGCAAGGGGCAGGCACAGGGACGGCGAGGGGACAATGAGGAGATAACAAGGGACCGGGGGATGGCGAGGGCCAACTCACGGGCTCGCCCAGCAGCACGCCCTCGAGCAGCGCCGGCTCGCCCTGCAGCGGCACACGGCGGGTGAGGCGGCCCC